GCTCTTCAGATAAAAAAAAAAAAAAAGTTCTACGCACAAAAAAAATGGTTCTACTTCTTTGGGGAAACAAAAATGGTTCTTCTATGGCATTGCTGCAAAAGCCCCCTTTTGGAACCTTTTAGGAGTGTATTTGTAAAAATCGACGCGTTTCAAAAAGGCGGGGCATAGAGGTGAAACAATAATGTACAGTATGTGGAAAATAATGTTTTTTTAACTTTAAACCGCATAAACACATTTTATTACACCAAATACACAAAATAATGTTCTTTTTAGCAGCATCATATGACCCCTTTAAAGAGAATTTATTAATAAGACCATTTATATTCACAGTAATGCATTGACTGTTACTTATTTACTGACTGACCTACAGAAGCCAAAGATCCACAAGTAGATGCTGCAGGTCCATTGCTCAAACAAGAAGAAGAGCAAAGCCACAGAGCCACTGGCGTGACATCCAATAGCTACAAAGTGATGGTTAAATAAAAATCTGTTCCAGTAATTTGATTATAGCATATCAGTAACAACCAGAAATGACTAACTGCTATCATTGTGAATACAATGTAATGGTCAAACACTGCATTAAGAACTGTATTCGTTTTTGGACTGCTCTAGGATAATAAAGGTAAAGATATCCATCTTCTGAAGTGGACAACCAAGTAAGTTGAGCCTGTGGTGGTAAGGATACATAGAAGAGCTTGATTGTTGTTGAACATAGAGACTCCACAGAGGAACCCAACCAGCTCGACAGCAAACAGGCCCAGGGTCACGGATAATGCCACTACAAGGCTGCCCTCCAAAAAAATGGTTAGAAGAAGGTTAATGAGTATATATATATATATATATATATGAGACATCCCATTTTGGTATCCACATCAAATTAAATTTACAAAAGTGATTTTATATACATATAAAGCATATTAAATGCAAGTAAAGTGTCTACGCTCTTCAGATAAAAAAAAAAAAAAAGTTCTACGCACAAAAAAAATGGTTCTACTTCTTTGGGGAAACAAAAATGGTTCTTCTATGGCATTGCTGCAAAAGCCCCCTTTTGGAACCTTTTAGGAGTGTAGTGACTGTGTCAGTTTATTTGTGTGTTTTCATCCATCTTAATGAGAGTGTGTGCAGTCCAGTTGAAGTCAGCTATGCTCAGCTCAGCATGTGCCTCGCAGGCTCACGGACTCATCACTCCTGTGAAGGACTAACTTCTCGGCAGTTCTACAGCATATCAACAAACACCTTGATGTTTGCTAAGAACATAAATATAAATGTACCCTTGTAAGCCGATGGAATACATAATGGAGGTATTTGGATTCACATGAAATACTCTGTGGTGAACTTCTCTCTTCTTACTGCTCCTTTTTTCTATCGTGGGTTTAACTTTTAAAAAGGGTTATTTTATGCTACAATAAGGAGTGCAGCAAATATAGGCTACAGACTGGCAATTATGCTTGAAATAAAAATGATAACTTGTTAAAGTTACAGCACATCTTGTGACTTAAGCAGATGGTTGGCTAATTCTCACTCTCATTCTCCTGGAGTTACCCACCTTCCACTTCCAGCTGAAATGTCAACAGATCATGATTACAGAGTCACATTCAGTGTTCACTCCAAATGTTTCTCTCACCCTGGAAAAATGAAATATCCTATAGTCATAATTCACTCCAAAATTGTGTCATAATTTACATCATGTTGTTCTAAACCTATGTGACTTTCTTTCTTTTGTGGAGCACAAAACAAAATATTTAAAAAGTGTGGTTGTTATGGTCCTTAAAAGGAAAGTCAATGGGGTCCAATGTTCTTTTGTCCACTATTTGGACAAAAACAGTTGAAAAAACATTCTTTAAAATATATATCTTTTCCCCTCACAGCAGAAAGTACATCATATAGGTTTAGAATGACACGAGGATGAGTTAATGATGACAACATCTTGTTTTTAGTATGAATTTGGGGAATGCAGTTAGTATAAATTAAGTAAAAAAGTAAAATTCATATTGCCTGTGCTTATAATTAACAGTTTTTAGGGTACAAAAAATGTTGAAAAATGTGAATGTGAGAAATGTGAAGAATGAACAGGCCCAGTTTGTCGGTCAGTTGTATCAAAATACAACATGTTTTAATTCATCACAATGTGTACAAAATGCGATATTTTCAAGAAAGAAATTTAAAGCAGTTATTTGTAACCACATAAAACCGTCAAAAAGCCTTCAAACATAATTTAGCAATCTAAGAACTCATGGAAAATACTAATTTATTGTGCCTGTGAATATTATTCTGGTTTCAGGATATTCTGGTACGTCAGTCATGGAAGGACAATATCCGCCTGAACCAAGAGGGCAGAGATCCTCATAGAGGCTTCCTCTTAAATCCAAACACTACAACAAAAAGGGTCATCTCATATAGTGCTGGAATCACACTGAAATGTAGAGAGAAAACATGATTGCAAAAATTTTCTTAAAAGACTAATTTAAAGGGGTCATATGATGCGATTTAAATTTTTCTTTTCTCTTTGGAGTGTTACAAGCTCTTGGTGCATAAAGAAGATCTGTAAAGTTGCAAAGACTAAAGTCTCAAATCCAAAGAGATATTCTTTATAAAAGTTAAGAGTCAACCATGCCTACCTAAAACGGGTCGTTCTAACACGCCCCCACATATCTACATCACTATGTGGAAATATTAGCATAATGCCGCCCAAATGTGCACGCAAAGAAAGAAGGCGTAACTTTAATTCTTGCTGTTGAGGCCGCTGCCATGTTGTGGAGTCGCTGTGTGTTTCGTTGTAAAAACTACTTTGTTTGATCTTCCAAAAGAGGACACAACTAGAAATCAGTGGTTAAGTTGTATTTACAACACTGTTCCGGAACAGTTCAACCCAAATATTCAGATGTGTGCAGCACATTTTATGGAGGACTGTTTACTGATCCTGGGAGAGTAACGTTTGACTAAAATGCCGGCAGTTCTGACTCACGTAAGTTAATGAGTATATATATATATATATATATATATGAGACATCCCATTTTGGTATCCACATCAAATTAAATTTACAAAAGTGATTTTATATACATATAAAGCATATTAAATGCAAGTAAAGTGTCTACTTTAATGTTCAAATAACTTTTGTGGAAAAAAATATGGGTGAAATAATGTTCCATCATCATTAACAGATTTTGACCTGTACTTTATAAAATGTATAAAAGAAAAAGTGATCATACTAAATTTTATTATATTTTAAATTATTAAAAACTTCTTGCTGACTAATGGGTAAAACCTGGTGGTTAGAAGGATAGTGGCAAAGATTGGTAAAGATTTAAAATCACAGGTAATTAGTTTTGGGGGCTGCATTGTGATCCTGAAATATAGTTTTTTAAGTTAGGGTTTTTTAAACTTTGGGGAATTTAATATGTTTATTTAGGAGGAAAGATGCACTAAATTGATCAAAAGTGATTAAAAAAATATACGGTATATATATTTTTTTACTTTTTACTAATCAAAGAATCCTGGGGAAAAAAATGTACTTGTCATTGGCCTACATACTTGTGAAGCAATTGAGAATGCGCAAGGCATGTTAACATACCGTGTGTCCTCTAAACTGTATTCTTCATTAGTGTAATCCAGTGGTAGGCAGGCTCTGACACTGTTCTCCTGTGGGATGACGGTTCAACACTTAATCACAGGCCTGACAGCAATGATATCCTGCGATACAACAGTGATTAAACACAGGAGAAGTTCTTACCCGGGACCAGAATATGATGATGACTATTACAAGGTGAGCGATGAGAGTCAGGAAACGGGCTGGCACCAGACTGCTTACCACCGACATTGAACTACACAGAAAACAACATCATGTGAGACTTAACTGTGCAAACGAACATAGCAATAAAGCCTTATGCATCTTGTAAATTCGCGGTTTACACAAAAGTTGTGACACTAACCGCGGATGTACGTACCAGCTCTCTAAAAGGTGTTAAAACCTGCTAATATAGTTCAGTTGGCGTGCAGAAAGTAAGTTTGTTTCTAACAGATGACAAAGCAGAGCCTAAATATAACGCTTTTTGGCAACAGTTATACTTATCTACAAAACCTGTGGACAGTCTTTCGCTATAACGTTAAGCTTCAGTTGCTACGACAACACTCTTCTTCTATTTGTGGAATCGGTTACGTACTAAAAACTGACCATTAAACAGCTTTTTGCTGCCACCTACTGGCAGGAGTCACTATGTGACTGGTTCTCATGCAGAGGGGACGCACAATATCTTAATTATTTATAAACAATTATATTTAGATAATTCGTTCATTTTTGCTTTAGAGAAAAAAAATGAAATATTACATGCACTTTTTCACTGCAGCATGAAATTCTGGCAAGTTAAACACAATTTAAATTCGTCCCATAAACAACTGTCTGTAAACTGGTGTTATTGGCAAATTCTTGAAATTAATCATGATTAATTATTTTAATATACAGACAGCCCTAGTGTGTGGTAGGCCTAGTAAAAAATCTGAAAACAAATTCATGTTTTTGTTATAGCCTAATTTTAGCAGAAATACAATAGGGGCATTCACTGTTTTGGAGGGAATGAATCGAATATTTTTTTTGACAATAGAGGCCTTAGAGTTATTGATAACTTTTATTAAGAATTATATCTCTAAAGCACATGCAAGACAGTTTAAGAATATTTTACATTATAATGGCAAACGCCTTTGCTGTTTGGGATTCAGGGTGTGAATCTGTGACATAGGCATCCACATTTTAAAATTTAATAATTATTTGTATTATTTTATCCTGTTTGCAACAGGTTTTTTATTTTTTGACAGTGCTTTTTGAGTATCTGACGATACACAAAGAAGCGAGCCATGTATGACCGAAAATGGATTATCATACAGAAATATTTCTTATTATACTGATGAATACTGATCATATTTTATATCGTTCAGTTCGCCTGTCTAGGAGCAGATCACTGACGGGCTGGTCTGCGTGACCACAGCAGGTTACTATTGGAGCAGAGGAAGCCAACTGAAATATCGCGAGATTTATATCCCCACTCGCTGCTGTAAGATGGAGAAGTTATGTTGAGGCGCAACCGAGGTAAGAGCTTAAATTAGTCTTTGTTAGGTAGAGACGTCTGTGGCTGACTCTACATGACCGTTAACAATATCGGACGGTTTTTCTCGCAAATTGTACGCGTATACTGTTGTTAAAATAAGTGTTTTGGATGGAAAGACCAGACACTTTGCTAATATAAACCGCCATTTTTAATTTGCAGTCAGACTGTCGAGCATTGTGGTGTGTTGTATGCGCGATGTGCGCGTGCATAGACTGAAATCTATTTACGAAATCTATTTTTCCGTAGGCAGAATCTCTAAAATGAAATGTAATAAACGTACATGAGTGAAGATTATGGGGAATTGGCGGATACATTCATATGGTTCTGTAAAGGGATCACGACGAAAAGCATGTGAATGTGGTAGCATGTGCCTATGTGATAAATGAGTTGCACAATATGAGTTTTTGTGTTGGATTTATGCATTTTCAGTCCTCACGACCTTAAAATTAGGCTTCAGACATTGTGTACTCTGGATATGGATGCTCATACCCATAAATATGCTGAATCGTCAAGTCCAGCAACAGTCTTGACACCTACATTCCTCTTATTTGGCCTTTAGGGGTTTACATATTTCCGTCCTCGGTAATCTGTTATGTTGTCCATTTATAGTATACAATTTTCTATCAGAGAAGTATCCACTGTTTATATTCCCCAATGCACCCCAGGAAATCTGACTCATATGATCTATTATAGAGATTACTGCTGATGGATAATATGGGTCAGTGTAACCAAATTGACCCTAACTGATGTTGTAAAGTGCCCCCCTTCCAAAAAAATCAACATCACATTGATGTATGTACAGTATGTATTTGTGAACTTTCCACCCTGTTTGTCTTGTTTTATGGTGTAAACTGTTGCTGATGACAGGAATGAAGAAATGAAACCTGTTAATTCCAAACTACAGTATAGAGTATAACAGTCGTTTTCAATAAATGAGAAAAAGTATTAAAATCTAATTTCAGTCATTACATAAGTGTAATAAATTCATTTTCAAACTAGTTATTAAGTGAAATAATATTAGAATGAATAAAACTTATATTTGGAAAATATATATTTCATACCATAACTTCATATGGTTCATTATTATCTCTTAATGTAGTGCATTAAGAAAAAATATCCAGACTGATTGATTGCAAAATGCATTAACTTTTCTTTAAATTAAAGTTAGGCTGAGAAATTCCATCATATCTCAAACCTTCAGTATTTAATACTTTTAAGTATTATTTCAGATAAATGTGTTTTTAATTTGATAAAGTAGACTTTAGCATCATGTGTGACACGCTACGTTCGCACCAAATGCAGCTACGCACAAGTGCAGCAGTAAAAAGCGAGAAATTGAGCCGTCCACTGGAAGTCAGTGTTATGGTAGGCCCTAGTGGGGAATGATTCAGCGAGATATTCTGCGTTTCTAAGCTAACCAAGCAAACCAACGCATGCACGAGCACCTCGTCAGTCGCCACCGCGAGCGCCTCACCGGCCACAGTTCATCGAGACGAAGCGCTTGCTGAAGATGTGCGATAATATACGCTACGGTACGGTTGTGTCGGCGTGTAAGCTCTGTGACAGACGCCGTTTTTGTGAGCTAGAGTTCTGAGGGAAGTGAGCGGGTTTGCCGGAGCAGGCCGGCTGAGCCGGGCTCGAGATTAGTCCAGAGCATGTGAGCAGCTTGGAGGAAAAATATGGACCTGTGTAGCTTCGCTCCTGACGAGTTCCGCCACAGTCGAGCCGCATATTAAGGATTTGGCGAGTGTTTGTTGGAAAAGAGGGGCTTTGGATGAGATTTCAGCAGTGAGTATAGGGATTGCGGGTTTGTGTTGACGTGTTGAGGGGAATTATATGCTTGGTGCCTCGTAGCTCGCGAGCTCACATTCAACGGTCAAATTTTCCCACAGTCCGTTCACGGTAATTCCTTACAGTTTATTCAAAAACTGGCGATCATTGTTTTATTTGCGCCGTTTAATAGGAATGCCGTGACTATGTTTATCCGCAAAACTTAGCTTGCTGACTGAGGTAACGTTAGCTTGTTAGCAAGGAAAAAACTAGCTAGCATGTTAGCTGTCTTTTTTCACGAATTGTAACGTTACTCCGTTTTCTGTCGTCTTTTCGTTAGTTAATGAAATGACATTTCGAGTTATTTGTTTATTTCCAGAGTGGTTGTGTTACTTTCACTTGTACTTAAATTTGTTTGTTTACGGCGTTATAGTTTCGTTTAAGGTGAACGCTCCAGCTAGCTAATGTCATTGTAATTTTCGGTATTCGGTAACTAGCTGCTGTGTTGTTCTCTCGACTACAGCACACGTTGGTTCTCTGTCAAGAACGAAGTTAGTGTCTTTCTTTAGTAATTAAGTTTGTTTAAATGGCATAGATAAAATTTTTGTCAAATGTGTGGGCTCATTTTTCCATGTCAGGTTCCTTGATCACAGGCCAGTGCTTCTCTTTGGCCGGGTTCAAGGTCCTAAATGAGTTTTGTTTCTTAGAAGGAGCCAGTAGGTTTCTAAGAACGCTACATTAACAGCCTCTTGTTTCAAAAAGAGCAATTTAACTGGTTAAATTCAGTAAGGACGTGTTGGTGAGATGCTAGGGATTGTCTGTGCCCAGAATCGATGCCCCATATCTGAACCAATGTGGGTTGCTTTTCCCTTGGCTTGCTCACAGACTTTCAGTCTGACAGTTTTCTTTCGACTGACCTTGATTTTTATTCTACAGCTAATTAGTATGGGATTGTTTTTGACCATTTAGAAGAAATAGTTTTTTTGATATATATAGCCTAGTTTTACATTAATGCCTTCGGAGAGTTTTTGCTTTTGGCAGCAAGATCACAAAAATTCTTATGTTTATTGTCTGGGATTGTTTCACTTTCATCTATCTTTTTTTACTTTAGGTTTTGCACATGAAAAATGCCGTTAAGTTGGAATTGCCAAATCATATACCGTAAGTATCTGCTTAAACATGGAGCTGATGAATATTTACATTGGCATGAACATGTTGGCATTTCGGCCTACATTTGGATCTTTGATTATTCATATGTATGATACCCTTGGTTATCTGCATTCTAAACCTCACTTAACACCAGGTGAAGGAGTGTTTCACACTTATTATTTAGAAGCAGAGTTAGGGCCACTTTTGTGGTGTTAACCACACTTTGCGGTACCACACTTGTGCCGTGTGAACCATTGTGGTGTTTGAATGTTACGGTTACATGCTTGGCAACAAACATCTTGTGCTTAACATGCTTTAGACCAGGGGTGCCCAAACTCGGTCCTGGAGGGCCGGTGTCCCGCAGAGTTTAGCTCCAACCCCAATTAAACACACCTGAACCAGCTAATCAAGCTCTTACTAGGCATACTAGAAACTTTCTCGGCAGGTGTGTTGAGGCAAGTTGGAGCTAAACTCTGCAGGACACCGGCCCTCCAGGACTGAGTTTGGGCACCCCTGCTTTAGACAGTCACAGAAACACTGTGTTGTCTAAACAGTAGTACGTTGGCGGGGGAAATGTCAAATGGTAACGGAAAATGTGTCAGTGTGTCAAAGAGATCATTTCAATCTTACCTTTGTAGTCTGAAAAGTCCATTCAGGAAAATCTTGATAGTACAGTTTGTCATAATTTGAGGATTCACAATGCTAGATGCTTTATGTAAACAGGTTGTGTGCTGCTTTCATCTAATCAGTGACACTGACAATAAGTACATAAATACAGGGTTTAGGAATGTACTGTGAAACGTCATGTTATGAAAACCCAGGATGAAATTCGGGTGAAGTATTAGAAGTATGAAACAAGATAACTTCGAATTTTGTTTACCCAGGTTTAGAATGAGCCAGGATTAACTTTTTAAGTGTGAAAAGTCATTTAGTCTTTTTTCATATGTGATACTCTGGCAATGCTAAGCTTAAATGTCACATGGTGGCATGTAAATGAGTATTATTCACTGTTCATTTGACTGAGCTTCTCTCTCATCATTTGATGTGTTCTCCGTAGGAATCGAGTGTAGAAATTAGTGACCATGAAGGTTGACAGAAGCAAATTGAAGAAAACCCCCACTGGGTTTAGGAATGTACTGTGAAACGTCATGTTATGAAAACCCAGGATGAAATTCGGGTGAAGTATTAGAAGTATGAAACAAGATAACTTCGAATTTTGTTTACCCAGGTTTAGAATGAGCCAGGATTAACTTTTTAAGTGTGAAAAGTCATTTAGTCTTTTTTCATATGTGATACTCTGGCAATGCTAAGCTTAAACATGGTGGCATGTAGATGAGTATTATTCACTGTTCATTTGACTGAGCTTCTCTCTCATCATTTGATGTGTTCTCCGTAGGAATCGAGTGTAGAAATTAGTGACCATGAAGGTTGACAGAAGCAAATTGAAGAAAACCCCCACTGAAGCGGTCAGTAAGCAGGATTTCTGTGCATTTGGAGTATTTGAGGTTGTGTGCACTTGCGTTTCCTCATAGTTGACATGTTCTTGCACTCCTCCTCCAGCCTGCCGACTGCAGGACTCTCATAGAAAAGCTGAAAGGATGCAGCGATGAACAGCTGTTGCTGGAACTGCTGCAAATCAAGACCTGGAACATTGGCAAGGTATATGCCAGCACCTCTAGCATCATGGTGTTTAATATGCATGTTCAGATCTCTAATGACGACCTGTTTCTCTTCACAGTGTGAGTTGTATCATTGGGTAGACCTGCTGGACCGTTTCGATGGCATCCTCTGTGATGCAGGGCAGACAGTGGAAAACATGTTGTGGTTGTTGGTGTGTGACCGGCCAGAGAATGGGCAGCTAAAAGCCTTATTGCTGGCGGTGCTCAACTTCACTGCACTGTTAATCGAATACAGTTTTTCAAGACACCTGTACAGCTCTATAGAGGTACCACAACTCCAGACTGATACAACAAAACCTGCTTCTGTTAGCCTTAAATGGTTTATTGCGAGTTGATTTTGAGCATTTGCTTTTTTCTTTTTTGTGTCTGTAGCACTTGACCACCCTTTTAGCATCATGTGACATGCAGGTGGTTCTGTCTGTGCTGAATCTCCTGTATGTGTTCAGCAAACGTTCCAATTACATCACCAGACTGGGCTCAGATAAGAGGAGCCCACTGCTCACCCGTCTTCAACATCTGGCTGAGGTATGAAAGCTTGACTTTGTCACGTCAGCATATTTATTTTCTCAGTTTTGATTGCTGAAGTCTAGAAGATTGAAATGCCAAGTCTGAAAGCAGCTGCATATCAAAGGTCTTTGAAATGCATGTGGCTAATACTGCAGCAGCAGTATGCAGTGTTTTACCTTTTTTACCTTTGTCAATTTTAAAAGTTTAATCCATGACTTGCATCTTTGATAAGTTCAGTTGTTTAGTATCGGTTCTAACCAAAGCAGCATGATGACCTGGTTTTGTACAGACAGGTGCTTTCATGGTGACATTTCAAGGCTGATGCTAGTTATCTTTCATCCTACACCTTTTCCTGACTCTTTTATTCCCGCTGTCCTAGAGCTGGGGTGGGAAAGAGAATGGCTTTGGTCTTGCGGAGTGTTGCAGAGATCTGCCGATGTCGGTATGCTATTTTGTCCTATTACATATACTGTCATTGTGAACATGGGGGAAAAAACATGATAGTTTTTAGAGTTGTGTGTGAGCACCATTGTTAAGATGTTCATGGTTAAGTAGTAGGGATAACCCAGGGCTAGACCCTATTGGACCAGTGTAGCGTTGTTACTAAATCCCACGTCCACAATCATTTTAATACAATTTTAATGCAAACTTATGTGACTTTCTAATTCATAACGGCTAAATTTTATGAATTATGATTTTCTTTGATTTAAATGTCTCTACGGTAAAGTAACCAAAAGGAGTGTTGGTTGCAAATTATAGAAAGTTGGATATTATACAAAATTCAGTTCTGAAATAGTAAGTAATATCACTATCTATAGTATCATTTTAAAGTGCATTTAATCATTTATTGCTGCTTTGTTTTGTAAAAAAAAAACCAAAAATCTTTAATTATGTAAAAATTATTTTATGGCATGTTAAAATGTTACTAAAATGACTATTTATCATATTTTTGCTGGAGCAAGTGAAAAAGTTGACAGGAAAAGTACTAACCAGGCCGTCCTTGTTTAGTCCTGCAATTTACAAGTTTTAGTTTTTTTTCCTGATGTGTCTATATTTGTGTTATGCAGAAATATCCACCGAGTGCTACCACATTGCACTTTGAGTTCTATGCAGAACCCAGCTCTGAGGTCAAAGTGGAGAAAAAGGTATGCATGGAGTCATGCTTCCCTTTATTTTGCCATTCTCGTTCAACATTGTTATTTTTTTGTTAAGCAAACAATTCATTTCTTTGTGCTTAACCTTTGTTGTACCTTTTTGCCCTCTCAACAGTCGAGCAGTAATACGCTACACTACATTCATATCGAACAACTTGATAAGGTGAGTTCCCCTAGTTGTTTTCATTTGCTGTCCTTGTGGACCAGTTAATGGAAGCACATAGACCTTTAATAGCTATTGATTACACTTTAATCTGATTTTTGCTTTTCCCCGGTGTGCCCTCAGATTTCCGAGAGCCCCTCAGAGATCATGGAGTCTCTGACAGCTATGTACAACATCCCTAAAGACAAACAAATATTGCTTTTCACACACATTCGCCTGGCTCATGGCTTCTCTAACCACAAGAGGAGACTGCAGGCTGTGCAAGCCAGACTGCATGCCATCTCCATACTGGGTGAGTTGACCCATCTGGTACTGACAAAAATAAGTACAGGTATTTATTTTCATGAAACCGCACTAGGTTCTCGCTTTCTGTCTAGTGAGGTTGATGTTATGTGTGTTTTTTTTTTTTTGCAGTGTACTCAAACGCCCTCCAGGAGTCAGCCAATAGCATACTCTACAATGGGCTTATAGAGGAGCTAGTGGATGTACTTCAGATCACAGACAAACAGTTGGTGGTGGGTAGCAATTATTAATCTTTATTTCTAACACTATATGGCATATATGTACTTGTTGCGTTATTTAGAGTGATTGCCAAGAATTGGCAGTATTGCACTACTCAAAGATATGTTTTCAAAAAACAGAAATGATGCTTTTAGATTTATTTCATTTATGAACCCTCAATTGTATTGTTACAGGACATTAAGGCTGCCTCTTTGCGCACGTTGACATCCATAGTTCACCTGGAGCGCACTCCCAAGCTCTCCAACATCATCGACTGCACAGGAACGGCCTCCTATCATGGATTTCTGCCTGTGCTTGTCCGCAACTGCATCCAGGCTATGATTGGTGAGGAGATAGACTTTTAGCTCTAATTTCTTTACTTGAACCGTTTTCTTAGGTTTCAGGTTTGGTGAATTCTGTTCTTATTTTTGCTTCAGACCCACTTATGGAGCCGTACCCCCACCAATTTGCCACAGCCCTCTTCTCCTTCCTCTACCACCTGGCTAGTTATGATGCTGGTGGAGAGGCCCTAGTATCTTGTGGTATGATGGAGGCATTGCTAAAGGTTGGTACTTTGGTGCTTCCTCATTTTTGGAGCATTTAATGAGAAGGTGATATGTGAGGATGTATTGTGAACCGTGCCACTTCCACATCAGGTGATCAAGTTCCTTGGGGACGAGCAGGACCAGATTACCTTTGTGACGCGGGCAGTAAGAGTTGTGGATCTCATCACCAATCTGGACATGGCTGCTTTTCAGTCCCACGGCGGCCTCTCAATCTTTATCTGCAGACTGGAGGTACTGAAAGCCCCCCCCAGCACAACTCGTTCAGCCCCTTGTTTTTCTGCGTAGACTATTCAGCTTTTTGCCCTCTGCCCTTTTGTTGACGGAATGTGACCCCATTGTTTCTCTGTGCAGCATGAGGTTGACCTCTCCAGGAAAGAGTGCCCTTTTGTAATCAAACCAAAGATCCAGAGGCCCAGCACAGCTACTGAGACAGAGGACATGGACACAGATATGGACAGTTAGTACCATCTCTGTTATGTTTACTGCATGGGGCAATATATTTAGTTTATCCTTATTCAAAACCGTGTATAGTATCCACACACTGTCTCATCTACACACTAGGCCAGGGTTTTGTAATAATTTGTGGATTTGTTTTTGTGGTTCACGTCCCTGTTTGCTCAGGGTCCCCAGAATCATCCTAACCTTATGGTACTGGTTGTAAGAATGCATATTTTATATCCCCCATTTTAGGCTAATTAATTATTTTAAAAAAATCTGGCATTATTCATAAAATCTGGTTATCATTGTTATTCTGGTTACACAATAAACTGTATCTGACATTTCATTCAACAAACTCCTATGCCTTCTCTTTGGGCCACCCCGTCACGCAAGTAAATACTAAGAACACATATTCCAAGTCTTCTGAAGCTATATAATAGAAATTAATGGTTTGCAATCGTATGAGTACTAACTACATTTTTAAGTTAGTAAAAAATGCTTTTGTCAATGTAGTGTCAGAGGTTGCCATGGAGAGCAGTCCTGGCCCATCCACTTCTGGTTCCAGAGCAGAGATGGATTTGCGAGGACAGAGCAGTGCAGCCAGCACTCCCAGAGCAGGTACAATAAGTATACTTGCAAGTCAGCGGGTCTCCTTTATATTAGTACAGGTCTACAGGAGAAACTGTGGACAGTTTGGTAATGCATATTTTCTTCTTTCTTAACAGGAGTGCAGTGCATTCCTCAGAGGGCCGCTCTGTTGAAATCTATGTTGAACTTTTTGAAAAAAGCCATTCAGGACCCTGCATTCTCTGACGGCATTCGTCATGGTATAAAACTGTATTTAATGATGCTTTAATTTTTACATTGTGGTAAATTTTTTTCAGCGTTTTTATTTGCTGAAAGTGATATTCATTGCCTTTGCACTCTCTTTATAGTAATGGATGGGTCCCTCCCTACCTCTCTGAAACACATCATCAGTAATGCAGAGTATTATGGACCCTCACTGTTTCTCCTGGGTAAGCACATGGAGAACAATACTTCTGGTGCTGCTGATATATTAGCCGAACTCTTTATGCTCAACATTTTGTAGATCTGTCTTTAAGGTCACAAAGTAGAAAATTGCAGCATAGTATGGTTAAAAGGCCCTTTGTGAATTTAATTGGTTTGAATCTTGACTAGTTTATTTGTCTACCCTCTATATTTCTTTCTAATTCTATTTCTCTTGTTCTCGGTTTCAGCGACGGAGGTGGTGACAGTTTTTGTGTTCCAGGAGCCCTCTCTACTGTCATCTCTGCAGGACAATGGTCTCACCGATGTCATGCTACATGCACTGCTCATTAAAGATGTGAGTCTGCCTTAACAAAATAACTTGTCTCTGCACCATCTCTCTTTCCCTTTTATTTTTGTGCCCACACATTCTATCCATTTTAAAACTCCTTTTGTCTGTTTCAATGTCTTTCACCACCCCCTGTTCAGTCGTTCTAGACCCTTTGTATCCCTTTTCCCCACTAAATCCTTTTGTAATGTTTTTCCATCGCTGGATTCCTCCCTCTTGGATAGTCCAGCAACTCATGGCGTATTTTAGACCCATTTTATGCCTTTGTTTCTACAGGTCCCTGCTACCAGAGAGGTGCTGGGTTCCCTGCCTAATGTCTTCAGTGCCCTGTGCCTGAATGCCCGTGGTCTGCACTCATTTGTGCAATGCCAACCCTTTGAACGGTTGTTCAAGGTGCTGCTCTCGCCAGACTACCTGCCAGCCATGCGCCGTCGACGCAGCTCTGACCCACTAGGTGAGTGGCCCCTATAGGTGTACCTGCAGGGTGTCCGCGGGTCCTTAAAAAGTCTTAATGTCTTAAATAGCGTTTTCCCAATATAAGGCCTTAAAAAGTCTTAAAATGTAACATTTCTTATTTGTATACTCATAAATGCATTTAAAACATTAATCAGGGTGGCCGCTGGTCCGTAAAAAGTCTTAAAATGTCTTAATTAAAGTTTTCCTAAAATAAGGCCTTAAAAAGTCTTAAATGTCTTAAATTCAGATTCAGTAGGTCTTAAATATTTTTGGTCACATTACCACAAACATTTCTCCAGTCTGACGGACCCAGTGAGTGTCCATCAAGAGTACTTTTTCCCCCCGCTGTAGTTAAATACATCTAAATGCCACTTCAGGTGCAGCTTATGTCTGGATTGCAGAAATGAATTTTGTTGATACCGATTTCATTTGCTTGGTGACAGCCCAAATGTCTTATTATTCTAATTCATTGATTAAATGTAAGAATTTGACTCAAAAGATATTGCACACTTATAGAAAAATGGCTTTATAAAGGTAAAATGCCCATAAAAGGTAAAAATCTATTTAAACTTATTGGAAAAGAAAAATGGCTTTATAAAGGTAAAAATCTATTTAAACTTATTGGAACAGATTAATTTCTATCTGACCACCACACAGAATATGAAGAATATCAAAAGCTTTAGGAGTCAGCTGTCCACGAAAGTCCTTAAGATACCAGCATGATAAAACACTCAATCAGTTGAATGAATGACTCAGTGACTCACTCATTTAGTGTCTTACCACCACTTACTGGTAGTTCAGTTGAGAAGTATTTTGAAAAGTATGTTAAAAAGTCTTAAATTTAACTTGTTCATGTCTGCAGAAACCCTGACCTGTCTTTGGAGATAATAGGATTGTGTTTCTAACAGACAGTTTAATTTTATGAAACAGGTGACACTGCTTCTAACTTGGGCAGTGCAGTTGATGAGCTAATGCGGCACCAGCCCACACTTAAAACAGATGCTACAACAGCCATCATCAAGGTAAAGTGGATAGTGCTGAAACATTTTGACACATCGTCTTTAAGAAATGCCCTTTATTGCAGTTTTATATGCATATTTATACTTACTTTTGTTCTGAGACCTTGAATTTGATTATTAACTTGACCTTTAACAGTTGCTAGAGGAGATCTGCAACTTAGGCCGATCGCCAGAATACATCTGCCAGAAACCTTCCATACAGAAAGCAGATGGGACCGTCACGGTGCCTCCAGCTCGCTCGAACCATGCTGCAGAGGAGGCATCCAGTGAGGATGAGGAGGAGGAAGAGGCTCTACATACCTTTAGCCAACAGCAGGGGGAGCCAGAAAGCAACAGGCAGTTAGTGCATCAAAATAGCTTCTAGTGTCCCTTGCTTTCAATGCCATGTGTGAGAAATCTATATTGTTTTAGATATATTTAATATACCATTTTTTAACAAATTAATGGTTTTTACAGAGTGGTGGGAACAGAGGAGCGAATCCCCATTCCTCTTATGGATTACATTCTGAATGTGGTACGTGCAGAGCTAGACCCTTTGCATCTTGTCTTGTACTTTTCCCATCTCATTATTATTCTTCAGACTGTCTATTCTGGCTCAATCTTATTGCATTCGCACAGTTCATTGGCTGTTTGTCAAAATGCATTGTCAAAATTTAGATGAGACTTTGCTCCACGGACTGGAACTAAAATATGTGCCTTTCCTTTTAGATGAAATTTGTGGAGTCCATTCTTAGTAACAACACAACAGATGACCACTGTCAGGAATTTGTCAGTCAGAAAGGACTCCTGCCACTGGTGTCAATCCTTGGGCTGCCCAACCTGCCCATTGACTTCCCCACCTCTGCTGCCTGCCAAGCTGTGGCAGGAGTCTGTAAATCTATACTGGTAAGATTGACACCTACCTGTAGGAAATGTAGTTTTCCCCTAATAATGCTTTAGATGCTGTGATATTTAGTGTTTTAATTTTATTCTTTTATCCCCTCACTTTCTTACTGTGCCTTAGACTTTGTCCCATGAGCCGAAAGTTCTCCAGGAGGGTCTGTGTCAGTTGGACAGCATACTGTCTGCTCTGGAGCCTCTTCATCGACCCATCGAGGTTCCTGGTGGCTCTGTGCTGCTCCGAGAGCTGGCCAACGCAGGCCATGTTACGGACGCCACACTGTCGGCACGCGCCACCCCGCTGCTGCACGCCCTGACGGCAGCACATGCATACATCCTCATGTTTGTTCATACCTGCAGAGTTGGACAGGTATGCATATAGGCAGCTATACAGTTTCCAGTATTAGGACTGCAGCTAATCATATTTTGATAATTGATTAATCTGCTGATTATTTCTTTGATGAATCAGTTAAAAAAATTATTTAAATTGGAAAAAATTATTTAAACCTTAATTACAAAGTTATTCCTCATCCTGCCCAATGTTGTCCTCCAAACAATGTGCAATTTGAAGGAAATGAAAGCATCTATGCTTTATATGTGCAATTAAACATTATGTGCAGAAAAAGGGGGTTACAGTTTAAACTGATTGCTTACCATTTGAAAGAAGTTCAAATCAATTTAAAAAACACTGACTAAATGTTAACTGGTTGAAGTTAGGAGGAACATACATTCACTTTTCAATCATTTAGATAAACATATTACACTTATACTGTTACAATAGCTGATATAACTGATAAAAATACAGTTACTTGTTTTGCATGTAGAATTGTCTAAAAATAAATATTTTTGAAAGTTATTTTTTCAGTTATTGTGCTGCATCTGATTGTGTGTGCTGGTGCTCATAATAATCAGATGTTGATTATTTTCATTATCGTATATAATCAGTTTTCACATTTAGTTGTTGCTGCTCTAATATTTAACAATTAGTGACTAAGCAAAAAGAGTCTGGAAGTGTGAGAAGCTGTTTAGAGTGTGAGAACTGATGTGGTGTTAACAATACCTCATGTTCCTATTCTTTCAGAGTGAGATCCGTGCTATCTCAGTGAATCAATGGGGATCTCAACTGGGTCTGAGTGTTCTGAACAAACTGAGTCAGCTCTACTGCTCTCTAGTGTGGGAGAGCACTGTGCTGCTGTCCCTCTGTACACCAAACAGGTTAGTACTGCTCTCACCTCACATGGTGGACCTTTCACTAATCCACTCCATAGGCACTTTTAAATCCACCATCTATTTTGTAAATGCATGTTATAGATCTTATTGTGAATGTAAATGTTTCTTTTTTTGACCTCGTATTGTTTAACTAAAATGTCATAAATTGATCTTCCGGTGAAACACTTTTCTCTGATGTATGCTAGATTTCTCCAGTTATTTAGTCCACTTAAACCTTGCTCCTTCGCAACTGACTGCAATGCAATGCTTGCATTTGTTTTTGAGTGACATTTGTCACAATATGGGGGGGGGGGGGAATTCTGTTGCTGCTTACTACTATACAGCATAGAATTAGGCTAGGTGATTGTCTGCTAACTAAAACTGATTGTTTTTATTTATTCATTTGTCTTTTGCAGTTTGCCTCCTGGCTGTGAGTTTGGTCAGGCCGACATGCAGAAACTTGTGCCTAAAGAGGATAAACCATCCAGCAGCACAGCAGCTGCAGGAAGGAGAACTGGTAAACATACTGCAATAACTGCATAGTGGCAATTTCACAGTAAAATTATTTATAAAGCTCACTACCTTACTTTGCCTCCTTATTTGATAAGATTTTATATGTACACTTTTTTGGGGGTTATTTTAGCCATCAGTTTCTCTCTTTTATTTCCTCTTTCCTGTCTTTTTGCACCTCGGTTCCTTTTATTTGCATTTCATGTCCTTTTTTTTTTTTTGCTGGTTTGCATTTGCTTTTTCTTTTCTAAAGCCCTTCTCTCTCCATCAGCTGAGACTGAGACCCTGTCTGTGGGGGTGGATCCCTCTGCTCAGGGTTTGCTGGAAGGAATGGGCCTGGATGGAGACTCTCTCGCTCCCATGGAGACAGATGAGCCCACAGCCACTGACCCAAAGACCAAGTCCAAACTCACCCCTGCCATGGCAACACGCATCAAACAAATTAAGCCTCTGCTCTCAGGTCAGAGCCAATAGAGCGGTCTCAACCATTTTAATCTGTTATTTAATAAGTAAAATGAGAAACCCTGAATAACATTGCATCTATCTCCACTATCACCGTCTTTGCGGTGGTCTTTTGAGCGTAGAATCTTTAGTACTTCTATTCCTCAGCTGCGCAGCATATACCAGACACCACTCCCAAGTTGCTCTTTGCAGGAATGAACCTTTCAACAACCAAGAGAGACTCCCTGAACAGAAGGAGACATGAACATTTATACCTTGTAGTTGAGTAAAAAATCAATGTCACTATCTGACTTCACCACAGACAATTTAAACAGCTACCAGTTGTTAATATAATTACAGTAGCTTGAGCTAATTCCCTGAATTCCCCGAATACTTACAATCCAATCCAATACTTCCCTGAAGTATGGTGACGGCGTCCCGTCAAGAAGCTACTATCACTACCTTAATCACACATGAGCACACAGGTCTTTAGCATCTATACACTCTCACTGCCCTTCTCCGCTGTATGCTGGTCTGACACAGGATCTTTAATACTAACTCCGAGTATTACAGCCTCAGCCCGAGGAAGACTCTATAGTCTCCCAACACTATCACGGTCTTTGCGAATTGGTTATACTGATCTGGTCATTGGTTTGTCATATGACTGTTAGTAGGGCTGGGCAAAAAATAGAATACAATTTTCATGCGAATCTCGTCAGTAAAGCCGCTTCTGGTGATTAGTAGTAAATCTCCAGCACGTGCTTTCAGATGGAGCGGCAATTTACTACTAGGGGTCGACCGATATGTGTTTTTCAGGGCTGATACCGATTATTACAGTTCAAGTGGATTGTAGTAGTATTATGTATATCATACTGCACCACAGTAATATATTTCTGATAATTCCTTTAAGCTAACCCAAACTTATATATTGTTGACGGGTTGTCATGGGGAACTTTTAAGTTTCTGTAGCCTATGTAAGTGTTTCCCATACACTGATTTATTTGTGGCGCCTGCCACAATATCAAAACTGACTGCCACAAATACATTTTCCAAAAGTCTTTGACTTCGTTGAATGAACATGAGCACTGCAGGTGTCAAAATTGAAATTGTCTTCAGAAAATTTTGGATGTCATTTTTATTTAATCTTGCATGTAATATCTGATAAAGCAGCATTTGTGAGCGGCAGTTCTGGAGATGTTGTTCATGTATTTATGTCCTCATGTAGTGAGACGACAGAAGCTGAAATCACCGCGAGCGTCGCACACTTTGTATGTGTAGAAAACAAAACCACGCGTCTGTACCATTTACATACACAGAGACACGCAGAACATGCAGGATTCATATTTAAATAGTATTTTTTGCGGCTTAATATTTACAGATAGTAGTCCATATAGCGACTCTATTGAAGTGTACTGACCTACTTTTGATTACCGTATTGGCCCGAATATAAGACGACCCTGATTATAAGACGACCCCCCTTTTTCCAGATGTACCTTTTGGAAAAAGGCTTTTTAAAAAACAAATCTTGTTTTTTCTCAGTAAAACACATTTTGTCTTCAATTATTTTCATATTGCATATTTTTCCT